GGGCATGGAGGTGAGAACCTGTGTGTGGAATTCAGCACCAAGCTGGGGCTTGATGGCCAGTGCCTCTCAGCAGCGTGAAGCCCCAGCTGAGAGCCGGCACCGCCAGCCTGGGACACTCGCTCCCTGCACTCAGGAGGTCCTCAGCCCTGGAGGAGACTGCTGGGTAGACAAACACGACGGCATGCTATATGTGGTGTTCAGGAGGGACACACAAAGTCCAAGAGAGCACAAGGGAGGGAGGAAACCATTCTAAGGAAATACCCTAGAAAGTGTCTCAGAGGGGACATTTGGTCTGGGTTTGGAAGGATGAATGGGCGTTTGCCAAGGAGCCTGTGACTTGTGCACTCCCAGGCAACCAGGGAGAGAGGTGGTGCAGACAGACAGCAGCTTGGGGTGGAGTCCGCACCGTCACACTGTTGCAGAATCTCCTCGGCGGTGCTGTCGTAGTGAGCAACGGGGTTGTTGACATTGCGGTACTGCATGGAGAGAGCAAAGGGCACGTGAGTGAAGGGCAACGACCCCAAAATGGAAGCAGCCAGAGGGCGTCAGGCAAACAGCCCAGTGCAAGCCAGAGAATCCCGGTGGCTGAGGGAGGGGGGGCCTCAACAGATGTAAAATATTAGCCCCAGCTCCTCAGAAGATGCAATTCCTGAATTTAACCCTGAAGTAAAATGAGTGAGACGGAAGAGCTTCCCGTAAAAAGGTTTTAATGCGTTTGACGCCTGCAGAGAGCTTCCAGGGTCCTCAGCAGTGGGCATTGCCACCCAGCGTGCCAAGCTGAGCCTGAAGCTGGTATGGATGGACAGCAGAGCCGAAGGCTGGGCCGACCTGCCAGCTGCACGCTGGAGGGCCTAACTGGCCAGGAGAAGCCAGCTGCCGTGTGCCGGCGTGTCAGTCACCTTCGCAGCCCCCAATCCCGCTGCATGTGCAGCAGCACCCCACACCCCGAGAGAGACCCCCAGGAGCACCCCACTTCAGTCCACGCCTCGAGCCTCACCTGGTCCAGGATGTGAGAATTGGGGATTTCGTTCTTCAGCCTCCAGGCCACACCCACATGCGACTCTGGGGAGTCGAACCTGGCATTGGTGGGCGTCCTCACGATCTCAGCCCCCAGGGCCCGCAGGACGTCCACCTGCAGAGCACANCCCCAGGGCCCCTCTCTCGGCCTGGGAACTGGGGAGGGAAGTGGTTTGCTATGGGCAAGAGGCCTAAATGGCCCCAATCTTTGTCTCCATGTTCTTTCAGAAGTCACATCTGAGGAGGCTCCCTGGCCCTGGGAGTGTCACTGCTGGCACCCCACGTGTCGGAGGGCTCGGTCAGCAGCTGCACTCAGGTGAGGACAGCAACACCTCTCCCTGGGGAATCTGGCTTGGGGCGACAGGCTGAGCTCATGTGAGGCCATAATTCCATTTTAAAGGGTCTTTTCTGGTTTTAAATGTTCAGGAATTTCAAAGACAAGGTTAAGGGAAGAGCAGAGAAAACGGAGCAAGCTTCCTACACGTCCACTCCGCTTGTTAAAGAGCGCTGGAGGCCCGAAAGATGGGGCAGCCCAGTCCCCTGCGGCCTCTCCACTTTGGGGAGCTACAGGAGACGGGGTGAGGCACAGGACTGCAAACGGCAAGAATGTAGATTCTGGTGACATTTCAGCTGTGTGTGTGTCTGCGTGTGCGGGGGGGGGTGACAGGAAAAGAGGACGGTCGAGTTCATTCCTAGGTTAGGGTTAGTCCCACTCACTGGGCCGTCGAGGAAGGCCGGTGTGGGACCTGGCCCAGGGGATAGGGGCTGACCCGACGGCATGGCCCTTGGGGACACTGAGAGGGTGTCGTCCGCTCTGCCCAGGCCCGTCAGAGGGTGGCCACCATTGTCTCAGGACGACCGCGGGGGTCTCACCAGCCCCAGCACAGCAAGGGGCGATGCAGTATTTCTCCTAGGAAATTCTGGTTCTTAGTAAGTAAGTAGGCGTGCCAGACATGCTTAAATGAATGCTGCACAGGAAAAACCGAGGGCCCAGTGGTCCGAGGCTGAGCAGACTGGTAGATGCTCAACTCAGCTGAGATGAAGGTCTCTAGCTGTCTGCTGACCCCCAGGTGTGGCCAAAACATGGCGGACACTGGTGAGCCTCACCAACGGGCCTCTCCCCACCTGGGCTCCCCACTTGGGCCTCCTTGTTTGCAAATCTGGGGTGAATTCTCAGATGTACAGGTTCGATGGGGGTGCAGCCAGCATGGCCCAGCTGACACCCAGAGCGGTGGGGACAGAGGGTCGGCGACCTGGCCCCTTGCACTGTACCCGGCTTTCAAGAACGGAGGTGGGTCTCAGCACCCACTGCTCTAGCTGAACAGAGCCCGTACCTGTTTAAACTGCTTGTAGAGGACTTTGTGAACCTGGTCTGATGGATGGACCTTCCCAGCGAGCAGGCATGACAGCATGTTCCCCAGAGTCACCATCCCAAGGATCACCCTGTAAAGCNACACGTGTGCCCAGGAGGCGGTGGGAGGAAGCACTGTGCCCACACCTTGGACTTCAACCTCCAGACGGTGTGGGAATACATGTGTGTTCGCCCAGCTGCCGGCCTGTGGTGTTTGTTACTGCAGCGCTAGGCCACTAAGATCTTACTGCCAGGTGGAGCTGCTCGCGAGAGCCACCCACGTCATCAGCACAGGCCCCAGGGCAAGATGTCGGGAAGCAGCACGCGTGCATCCGTGCAAGCACACGGCCGGGGGAAAAGGCCCAGCCAAGCCGGCGCGTATAGCCAAGCGCCACCCCAGCCAGGGGATCCGGCTAGTCCCAGCACACACACCTGTGTTCCCGGATGTCGGCTCGATGATCGTGTCCCCAGGCTTCAGCGTCCCCGAGAGCTCGGCCTCCTCGATCATGCGCAGGCTTATCCGGTCCTTCACGCTGCCGCCCGCGTTGAAGAATTCGCACTTGGCCACTGGGAGCCAGAGGCGTGTCAGGAGGGGGAGAGGCTCTGACCCGACAGCCCTGCCGGCCCCCACGACCTCGCTGGCTCTGTAAACTGCTCCCTCCACGCCTACCCACCAGCACAGCTGAACAAGATGCTCCCCCCCCCAACCCCCGGGGCCACATGGCAACTCCGGGGGAATGAGACAGAAGCACCCCAAGGAGCCCCCGCTGGGTGGATGGACTGCAACCGGAACGCCTCCGAGAGGCCGACAGTACCAACAGCGATTTGCTGAGCATGCAGCGTGCCTGAGCCCCACGTACCCCATAAATGCCCGGCCATACCCCGTGGCCCCTGCCAGCCGAGTGGATGCCCTAAAGCCACGCCCCCCGGTGACACCCCGACTTGACAGACCTGCAAACCCTCCACATGCGCCTCCCTCGTCCTCCTCCCCTGGGACACACCCTCACCCAGGGACGTGGCCCTTGTCCTCCCTACCCCAATGCTGTCCTTTCTGTACGAGCCTTTTGCTCAGATCTGTCTTGATGGGAGGACAGGTCCCATCTCTTAAAAATACATGGTGTTTGTAGAAAGGGCAGGTGCTGTACCAAACGGGATCTGAGGACCCCAGGCCAACCTATGACACCCCGAGAACCACCTCTGACCTAGTTTGTCCTGGTTTCTGAAATCCCACCTCTGCACAGACGTCGTCCCCTAGAGCCAGGAGAGGCCCCTGCGTATAATGTCTATGTGCACGTGCATGGTAGGGAGGGGCCCCCAAACGCTTGACCGCTGAGCAGGCCTGCACCCCAGGACCCTTCTGGGCCTCAGACTTGAATTATTTAGTTAGATAATTCTAACTAGCCCACGGGAAGGCCAGCACCAAAATAGGGGTCCCAGCTGACGGCCTCGGGCCCGCCCGGTTTGTCCATGGGTAAAGTGGACACATTAGAACCTACAGTGGGCACTGCCAACTGAGCTGGGTACTGGCCAGTGGTCTCTACTATCCCGGGCTGTTCCGAGGCAACCCCAGCACCCCAGCGCCCAGGAGTATGTACTGCTCTTTGCTTTTAGGAATTCTTTCCCTAGAGGGGAGGAGGGTGGAAGGCTCTGATGATGTCCCCAAGGTGATGCGGCCGCATGCTGCCTGTCCCACCTCAAGGCCCCACCCCATGCTCCCCTGCTGAGTGACCTGTCCCCTTGGCTCTTGGTGCCAAGCACTAGGACCCCCTGCAGGGCCCCTGCAGCTGCTGTTTCCTCCATGACAAGGTGGCCGTCTGCATGGGCTCACTGCCCTGGAGGCTGTGACAGTGAAGAAACCCCCTTTCCATATTCCTGGAAACTGCTTCCTGCAAAGCAGCCCCTCCCCCAAATGACAGATTAAGACTCTCGGATGACCCCCGTGTTTACCTAGGACAAGACCAGACACAGACCCCAATTCCCACTCCGTCTCATAAATGACAGACGAACTGTCTGTCCCCACAAAACCAGCTAAACAGTGAGATAACCACTTCCTGCCCCGCTGGTGACTGAGACCCTCGTTACAAAAACTGTCCTGTGGTCACATCGCCCAGCTGGCAGTGTGCCTACACCTCCCCAGGAGAGCCTAAGACAGACGACTGCACTGTGCTCCTTGGAGCCGGGCCGCCTTCTGCGAGGCTGGGCGAGGTCACTCCTTCCTGTGACCTTCGCCGGAACATGCTTCCCGGGTGCCACAGGCTCTCTCCTTCGTGCTCAGGTCCCCGCCTCGCTGACCGCCAGCTCCAGAGTGGCCCTCTCGCTCACCCTCGAGCACTTGGCCTGTATATATATATATATATANCATCCACTCTCCCACCTCCAGCTCGTGTGGGCCCGGCGGAGGCCCCGGCAGCCCGCCACTCACTCTGCACCCAGGACACTTCTCTTTCAGCTTCCTGGCAATGCCTGTGATGGTGCCGCCTGTGCCCGCCGAAGCCACCAGCATGTCCAGTTTCCCTGAGAGGGGAGAAGCCGCGTCAGGGAGAACATGCGGACAGTGAAAACATATGCAACCAACACGGAGGCAGGTCATCGAACACGTCAATGAGGAGCTAGTCTCCCGTTGCCACAGCCTCGCATCGCCACCCTTCATCTCAAGGGAGCACTCAGTCACAGGGACGCGGTGAGCTTCAGCTAAGTCCTTGCCAAAGGGCACGCGGTCACTGAAGCCCTATTTGGTGTGATTCCGTAAAGCCAGCCTAGAAGCGTGGGCAGGACAGACGTGGTGGCTGCCTGGGGGACGGGGGCTCGGGGAGGTCTCCACGAGGCACCTGCTATGCTGTTTGGTTTTAGGATATGAGTAAGTGAACTGAATTTAACAAGGAAACAGAGTAAATCACTAGGGCTGGGTTCAGAAGTCATCTTGCTCTCCCGGAGGCCGAGCGCCAGCCCAGGCCTCCTGCAGACAAGTCCGTGCGGGCGCCTGAGCCGAGGCAGTGCACTGGTTTTGCTAACAGAATTCTCACCCAGAAAACCTGGTGAGCAAATGCCTGGACTTCGCTGCCTGGCTTCTGGGCACAGAATGAGGCTGTGCTTAAGCCAAGGGCAACAACGGACTCCAAATAGGAAGCCAGGGTGCCAACCGCCCAGCAGCGTCCCCCTAAAATCTCAGCCCCTCAGAAAACACCAGAGCCCCGTGGGCCTTGGCTCCGGCTGTGTGGAAAGGTTCCAGGGAGCCTCATGTCCATACAGACAGCAAGCTAGTCACTGACATCACCACCCTGGGCATGGAGGTGAGAACCTGTGTGTGGAATTCAGCACCAAGCTGGGGCTTGATGGCCAGTGCCTCTCAGCAGCGTGAAGCCCCAGCTGAGAGCCGGCACCGCCAGCCTGGGACACTCGCTCCCTGCACTCAGGAGGTCCTCAGCCCTGGAGGAGACTGCTGGGTAGACAAACACGACGGCATGCTATATGTGGTGTTCAGGAG